TAAACCGATGTTTATCCCCCGGGAAATGGTCAGCTCCGTTCCTCTCCAATACCAGCGGTGTAAGCCAGTCCGCAGCCAGCACAGCCCGAGGCCATCAGACGCCGAAGGGTGCTGGCCAGGAATTGCAGAGGGGCGTCGGCCTTTCGCCCTCAGCTAGTCGGACTCTAAACTTCGGGCCACATATGCTCTCCTCTGCAGGCAATCTCTTATCAACGCAGCTTCCCAAAGAGCTGGAAGAGGAGCAGTGAATTCCCACATTACTTGGTGCCCACCAGTACTGGAGTATTTCTGTGGAAGCCAAGAGAACTGAGTGCAGGATGGAACCTGGGGTTTTACACATCATTTTGGCCATCATTGTGGCTCGCCAGTGTCACCCAGATTTTTGTCCTGCATGCAAAGGCTGTTTGTCATCACAGGTCTCTCCACCTTTCACCCAAGCCACCATGGCCTGTCAGCTTGCATTCAAATCCCATGCTGTATGTCAGTGTGCTTATTTCTGTGGAGAAAGGTGAGCAATTTAATTAATGCTGAATTTGAGCTCATAAGAAAGCAGGAACCCTCACCATCAGATAAAGATTAATGCAAATCCTGTCCCTTTCTCAAAACTCTCTTCTTGGCTGGTCTGACTTGCATGGATGCAGCCTGCATGTTTGAACAAGGAGCAGCTGTTTTCCAGGCATCTTTGTCTCCTGGTGTGCTGAGGTCTCCATTGTTCTCTGCAGCACTGTGGTGAGTGATAGATCTTGCGCCCATGCCAATGCCTGAAGCTCACAAGCTGAGGGTGCGGGGCAGGCTGGAGCTGGTGAGCTGCAGGGACACCAATGAGCTGCTCTTTAGCACCCTTCAGTCATCAAAATTAGGAAAAGGAAGAAGCACAACAATAAACTCTTTCTGAAATACTGAGACCAACAGTTTAAATGCTAGCTGCTCCTCAACAGCAGAATCCCCACTGCAATTTGAACAAATGCACAACCATCCTCTGGCTCCTCATACCGTGCCCACACTGCAGCCCAGCGTCAGCTGTGAGCCAGAAGTGATATTTGGTGTTGTGTGAATGGAAAACCCTGAGCCCAGACCACCCAAAAAACCCATCTTGATACCCGCCTGCAACCAGTTTGAGGGACTGTGCTGCTCTCACCATAGCACCACTGCTGAGCCATGAGGTGCAGAGAGGATTCCCCTGCCTTCTTAACTCCTCCTTAACTCCTCCTCAGAGAGGAGCATGGGGTCAACTGGAGCCAATCTCAGCCTCTCGCTTTTGTCAGTAGTTAGGTAACTTCCCCCTCTCCCACTCCAACTGAAAGATGTCCAATCAGATACGTTTACATAAAATGAATTATTTATTATGAAAAATAATTAGAAAAAAGATCTTAACTGGGATTATTTATTACACAGTATAAAAGCTAAAAATACTAGTAGTGTATAGTATAATAGATGGACCATATTATAGCAATTATATTAATGCTGACAATGAGAAACTACTTTTAAGTAGAGATTGATGTAACTCACCAATATCAACACTTGTGGGCAGGCCTCTTTCTCTTAACCTTGAGGAGAATCCTTGTTGGGTATCCCCAAAACCAAAGTATTGTTAAATATGTTGAGATTCATCAGTCTCCTAGGTTTTACTATTTTATCAATAGATAGTTTGAAATAGCGTCAGCTATATTATAATCATACCTTATACTTTTACACACAAAATTATTATAAAAATCAGTTAGAATTTAGTTAATAATATTAAGTGGAACATACTATAGAATTAGCTATTGATTCTGGCAAGAAACACTGTTATTATTTTAATTGATGTACTTCTGGAATCATTAGTATCCTCATTTGTTGGATTAAGTACCACGCTCTTACATATAAAATATGTAAAAAATGGTTACTTATAGAAACCAGATTCTGATTAATAATAATATTATAATAACAGGGTGTAACAATAAATTCAGAATGCCCATCATGTTTGGGGATCATCCAAACAAGTCATCATACAGTGACATTCTCTATCCCTTTTCACACTCTCTAGGACAACAGTGCATTTTTCCATATCATTACGGACAGCAATTAATGATTTTCAATTATCCTTTTCAGTTGTACCAATTGGTGTAGATCAGGATGTTTCAACAGTTTTTAACGAGGGTAATGTTCATTCCCAGAGGTGCTGCTGCATGACAACACCACCTCCAAGCTGTAGAGGGATCTTTGTAGGCAGGTACCTGCTGGCCCTTGAGATCTATTGTGTTTGCAAGTCCACACTTCAGCAGCCTCCAGGCTGTTTGAAGGATATTTTCCCCTGGAGTGTTCCAGAACTTGCCGTCAGGATGATGACCAGGAGCAGCCATTGGTGTGTAAAATAAAACAATATATATCCTGGAAGCTGTGCTGGATAGGATAGGTTAATTTCCTTAGTTCAGAATGTGGGAATTATCCATGAACTGATTCTGTGTTGGCGGCCATTAGAGTCTGTAGCCAGCCAGGCTAATGGTCCTCAAGTGTCCATTAGTCATTGGTACAATCCCAGCTGGGAGAGTTTGACCTTGACAGGTTGGAACACCTTCAGGTTGTCCTGGAAGGCTTGACCTTTGGCATGAGCTTTGATCCATTCTATATGGATTGGTTGGGTTTGAGCCTGTAAAAACATCACTTCCAATCTTCCTTCTGCCACACCTCTTTTCCATTCACCTGCCACACTATTGTTTTCCATTGACACAACGACTGGCACCAGCCCAGATTGCATAAGAGTCAACATATATTGTCTTTGCTTTCTCTCTTACTGCCAGCAATACAGCTTTTAACACTCCCACCTGTGCACTTCTGTAGGGGAATAGAATATAAGAAAATAAAGATAGTGTAGAAAGTAATCTTACCCCTAAAGAGTTGAAGTTGGGCCAATTATCAAAGATTAGGAACAGGCCTGACTTTAACAGGCCATAGCTGTAACCAATGGGAGGAAGAGTGCTATAAAAGAGTGGGGTGGGGAGTTGAGAAAGAAGGGAACTGAAGTTGATTGGCTTCTTTGTGAAGAAGAAAGAGTCAGTGCTCTGAGGAGCTGCCCATGAGAAACACCAAGAAGGTATGAAACTTTTGTGATAAGGAGACAACGTTATGGAACCCCTGCAATAAGATGACAACACACTTCCCATTCTTTCTTCTATAGCTTCTATTCCTGTCTGAATGTTAAAAGCAACTGGTCTGTACTTCCATTTACCATCAATGTGTTTGGCTGACATACCAACAAGCCAGGCATCTTTATCTTCAGATCTGATGTAAATGCAGTAGCATCAAGTACAGGACTAGGTTTATATGGCTGTTGCAAAGCTAGCATATCTGGGGTCACAGCTATGTAATTTTGCAGGTTTTGTTGTCCCTTCAGTTATATCCATCTGATCCTTCAGACATGGAACCCTTTTGTGTACTGTTGGTCTTTGTGCAATTCCATCTGGTGAAGCATTGCCCTTCTTAATACTGACTGACGGGTTAAAAGGTCCTTGGACTTGCACAGGTTGATGCTGTTGAATTTTGTTTAAGAGCTCAGGTCAGAGGTAATACTCCCTTTTCTCAATCAATGTATCTCTTATCAGTATCCTTCAGTCCTGTGGAACTCAACCTTAATGGCTGCTTGTGTCCATGTGGACTTTTCTGGAACATATTACAATAAGTCCCATATTCAGAAAAAAACATTTAACTACTATAGGATCACTGGGATGAACTGGACCTAGTGCTTGATGTGGTTTTAACTCTTCTATCAGTGTCTGCAAAGCCTGTTTGTGACTATCAGGCCACTACCAGGTCTGGTTTTTCCTCATTAATGTGTGCAATGGTCTGTCTATTAGAAAAAATCCAGAAACATTTCTCCAGTACCCTAAAGTACCTATGATCTTTTTAAGTTCCTTTTCAGTAGTAGGAGTGGCTATAGCATCCAATTTTGCAATTGTTCCATCTGGGATTGCAGCCTGACCAGCAACCCACCAGGTTCCTGGGAATTTTACCTCTTTAGAAGGGCGTTGTCATTTAGTAGGTACATTTCTATCCCCTTGTAATTTAATTTATTCCATCTACCCTGTGATGTTGTTCTTGCTGCATCTCCCTCTTCACCTTCTGTCAACACATCATCGGTGTATTGATAGATTTGTACTCCTTCCAGGATTTTCATTTGTTGAAGGAGTTCAACTAAAGTATTGTGTGCTGTGGTAGGTGAATAGTTGTACCCTTGGGGCAGGCAATTAAAGGTGTAATTTGTTCCCTCACAAATGAATGCAAATCTGGGTTTGTCTTCTTCCTGAGGCAGAACCATGAAGAACATGTCCTTAATATTCAAAACTGCTATCCATGTATGTGCAGCTGCTTGCAGGGCAGCAGTGAGATTTGCAACATTTGGGACAGCTGCAGTGAGTGGTTCTGTGTTAGCATTAAGTTGTTGATGATCACTTGTTAAGTGCCAGCTCCAATCTGGTTCTCTTAGCAGCCAAACAGGATTATTTTATGGGGAATGTGTCCTAAATATATTCCCCTTTGTTCTAAATTCTTAACTAATTTACCCTTTCTTTGGCTGCAGGAGGAATAGAGTACTGCTTGATATTAGTCACAGCAGAAGCAGGTAAAAGTGGATAAATTTTTAATAGATTAATTTTTCCATTTTTTTCCAGAAAATTTACTATATGGAGTTTTTGTGGGCCCAAATGACCAGACATTCCCATTGGGCAATTGCCAAACTTTTCCATTAAGGATATCATATCCTGAAATGTTTTCTTCATGATCTGCAATAGCAAATGTTTGTGAGGTCATTCCTTTTTCCTCAGATAACCATAAACAGACTTTGGCAATGTAACACATAGTAATTTGTCCATTGAACCCTCTTCCTCATAGACAGATTCTTTCTTTTAAAACTGAAGTTTAATTTTTTAGCATCTCTGGGGATAAGCAGAGATAGCTGAGCTCCTGTGTCACACAGCCCTTTTTGAAACACAACATCCTGCAACGCTGAGGCATCAGCTCTCTGAAGGCAATGTGCAGCAGACATGCAGCAGACACATGCATCTGCAGTCACCCTTATGCCTGGTAGCCCTGAGCAGCTCAGAAAAGCTGCAATATTCCCTCTTTTCTGCTCCATCCCTTCTGCTTCTCCTCAGGAATACAGCCAAGTCCCATTCCTACCTGAAAGCAAATAAGAACTTATTTTGTAACTCAAAAAGCAGTGAGAGGATTAACTCTTCTCTAATCCTTATTTTCTAGGAGGGGCTGAATCAGGCAGACTGCAGTTTGACTGCCTTCACCTTGACTAACCCTCTACTTCAACATGCTTTATCCTCTGTTTTGTTTCCCTTTTGCCTCCTGTAAGTTTCTGCTGTTTTCATGACTTTTTAAATATGCTACCTGCCTTCAAATGGGCTTCATTTCTTCTTCTTTAACTGTTTGAACTTTCAATATGGACTTATTAAGCCAAGTCTTATTAACATCACACAGCACAGAACTAAGGGACAGCCTTGATCTCAGTGCATCACCATCAGACAGTGGATTCAAGAGAGTGAGGAGCAATTGCCACTCCTGCTCAGAAAGCAGCAGTGACACACTGGGTGCTAAAAGGTGTACAGCCATAGCTGGTCACCTGAGTACTGCCAAGCTCCCTGTAGAGGGAGAGACCAGAACTCCCAGAGGATGATTCAACCTTCTTAAGATATGTATTGTTTTCTGTTTGTCTTCATCTTCTCTGTCTTATCTGCCTTCCTAAAAATTTCTGCAGAATTGTAATTTTGTTCAAGGTGGCATTTAAAGTAAAATATCCATGCAAATTAGATTAGTTCTGGATCGTTTGATCCCTTTCCAATTTCCAAGCAAACACTGCCAACCATTTCCAGAAGTGCCAACACCTGATGAAAAAACCACTGTTATCCTTGCTGCTGCAGACTTGTTGTCTCCTGAGATGTAAGCACACAGCCAGCATTATTTTACACCAGTTAAATAACCTCATTTCACAGGTAATTTACACCAAGGGAAAGCATATCAACAGGTGTTTTGATATCTGGAAATATAATTTCCAGTTTGGAAAAGTGCGATCTTTTGGAAGTGGCGTAAGGAAAATGTCATTAATGCAACTAAAGTGCAGTTTACGCTGAGTTTTGGGCTAAAATTTGTAGAATTTGTGGGAGTTGTGGGACCCAGACTACTTTTGGAGGTGACGCATAATACCAGGCTACTGACACTGCTCCATGTCCCCCTGCATCCAAGGCCTCAGCAGCAGCCACACGTGCATGCCTGGCACAAGCGTGTAGCTGTCAGCATTGCTCATCATGGTGCCGTGTCTGTGCTCAGGAACTGACAAACCAAGCTGAAATTCATCCTCTGCAGGAGAGTAGTCAGAGCTTTTGCTTGGGGAAAAATCCTATTTTCTCTACTTCCTTTGTCCCCTACTTCACCAAAAAAAACTTGCACCCACAGCTTCTGCATGCAGGAATGCTCTAACCCTCAACAGTATGAGGTTATTTCAGGTGAAAAAGCTCCCCATGACTCCCATGGGGCTATAAGGCTGGGAGACAAGGCTCGAGGCTTGTCAGTGATGGATGTCTTCAACCTGCTGAGGTTGGAGGGAGGAAAATGAGAAAACACTGGCCTTGTCAGGGCTGGGGGGTGAGAGCCTTTCCCTGTCACCTTACTAGGAGATTGTGCTGTCCCCCTGTGATCCATGGGAACAAAGATGGAGAGGCCAAAAACAGGGATCTCTTTCCTGGTAAGGCAATTTGCAATTTATCTTTAGTTATCTCAGGCAAAAATAAAATGTGTCCCAAGAGGACACAGCCTTGCCTGCCCATTTAATTACTGCACAGGGATGTGCTTCAGGCAGCTCTGTGTCTCTCACAACAGGTGGCTTTGTACAGCATCAGAGTGAAATCAGTGACCAAACTCCAACTGTCAGAGCTCTCCAAGAGCCAGCTGCCACCTCTGGATGCAGAGTCATTGCACTATTGCCCTTCCATGTCCCAGGGGACACAGAAATATTGGCCACAGATAGAAGATCTCAGGACAAAAGGTCACATAAATCTGGGCTGCACAAAAAACCCATCAGCCGAGCCAGGCTGCTGCAGCAGGCCTACAGTTCCCATCATTTACTGTGCTGGGACAAAGGAGCCATAAATGCTCCATTTAAATTCTGGCCTTGAAAGACTCTTATTTACATCCAGACAGATGCTGCTGAAACCAACACAAGTGGCACAAAGGCTTGCCACGGGTGCCTGGCATTTTCCCGTGTGACGCTCCAGTTCCCCCCTCGGAATATGGGAAACCCAGTGTCCCATTTACCAGAAATGGTCTGGCAGGGCTGAATTGGCTGTGACTATTTATAGAAAGATCCTCACAACTCAAAGCATCCTCCCAAAAAGCAGCACACAGAAACCTGCTTGTGCCTAGAATGGGGTGCACTGACCATAGTGCTAATGAATGCAGATGGCAGAGCTGCCTCTCACCCTGCTAAATTGCCCATGAAGATGAATGAATATTTTACCTTCTGGGCTCAGGGAGGCCCAGAAGGAAGGTGTGACACTTTTCATGCCAAGAAGAAGCTCTGTGCTCCCCTTGCTCACAGACAGCATGCCAGGAGTGGGACTTGTGGTGGTGGGACCGGGCTGGATCCCATAACAGCACCACAGCTCCTGCCTTGAGATTTGCAGAACAATAGTTCTTCCAGTTAGTGATTAAACCAGTATCTCTGCAAACTCTTATTGGTTTTGGTTTGCAATTAGCATGGATAGTGGTTTGTTGTCCTTTTTCTTCTAAATTGGTCTTAAAGTGTTCTCTTTGAGAATATCTTACTGAGCTCTTTTTAATGAAATATTTTGTTCTTATTGAATTGATGGCCCAGCCTGTCTGAGAACAGTTTGATTTCTATTCACTTATTAATATGCCTAAGTATTGCAAACATAGGGAAGATGGGTGAAGTCACTTCCAAATTGATGAATTGATTGTGGACCTCTTCTGCCTTCAATCTTCAGCTGTTGCAGCACAAAAATTAAGCTTCCCTGGGAAATTGAAACATAAGAGTCTATGTTGTTTATGAGAATGTTATCCTCTAAAATGAGGAGATGATGACTGAAGTTGAAGGAAGGACAGGCTCTCCCTCATATCAACAGGACAGAACTCAGATATGAGGAGGTAAGGATCGCCACTGAATTTCAAAGCCTAAAAAAACCTAAGTCAGAGAAAGGCCTGTAGATCATTTGGCCCTTGAACAGGTCAAGCCTTGTAGTAAGAGAGAACAAAAGGGCAGTAGGAACTGGACAAACCTTGCCCAATGTGTTTGGAGCAGAGATGCAGGGGTATTGTTGCTTCCAGTGCTGGGAGCAGTTGTGATTTTCAGCCTCTCCAAGAGGGAGGAACTTGCAGGGACAGGGACACAGGGGATGGCTGGGCCAGGAGGAGCACTGGGCTCTCACCTGCCTTTGCACTGCAACCCTGGGCAGGAGCAAGTCCCAGTCATGGCCCAGAGGCTGATATTAGAGAGTGCCACATGCCTGCTTATTTGCAGTTGTACCTCCTACCTGGGCAGCCAGATGACTTTTTAAAATACTGTGGAAGGGACTAGAGACAGAGGTGCTCTCTGGTTTTCACTCTGGTCCTTCAGCTGGAGGCTCAGGAGAGGCTGCTTCACCTTGAACTTGATCTTCTTACCAGTGAAAGTGTTCATTTATCAAGACTAGATCCAAGGCTTTGTGCTGTGACATTAATCAAATGGAGGTAAAACCATTGCTGAAAATCAAAAAATGAGCTTGAAGTAGGCTCTTTTTATTTAATGAAAATGGGCTTTTCATGAGATGATCAATCCCTGTGGCAGGCTGGGGTGGCAAGTGCCCTGCCAGATGGGAAAAGCCTGGCCCTGGCACCAAAGCTCACTGACACCTCTGGTCTGTGAGCAATGCCTGGAGCCCCTCAGCAAATGTCCCAGTGCCTGTGTGTCCCAAACCTGCACCCACTGCTTCCCAGAATCTCCTTCTGAACATACCTAATGTCCTTAGCCAGAAAGGCAGCTGGGTAAGAAGTTATGTGTTTGAGCAGCCAGAGTGGGAGGTGTCCTGTTCCCCAAGATGCTGGCACAGAGCACTGTCCCTAATGATTCCCTGTGGGAAGGAGCAGAACATGCTGACCCAGAGCAGGCAGCAGCCAGGACAGCAGTGTCCCTGGAGAAGATTATTTTAGTGTTTTCAAAGCCATTGAGCTTTGACTGAACTCAGCCAGTACCAAAATTTGATGGGACAAGAAGTGCATCTTGCTGGGAATACAAATTAAACTATTAATGGATTTTCTGCACCCTGAAAAGTGCAAAATAATGTATGAACACAAGATCTTCTTATTAAAACCAATCTCGTCTATTTCTTCCATATAGCAAACATTTTTCCCAAAAAAATATTTAATTTCCAATTACCACAAGACAGGAAAGTTTAGCAGTGGTTAGAATAAACTTCCCTGATTAATTTTTAACTATCCTGGCTGAAGCCTCCTTGCACAGAGAACATGATCTAAATTCGCAAGAAGACATAAGCATGAGGGTTTTTTTTCTGAAAGCCTGTGTGCATTCCAAGCAACTTTTAAGAGAATTCCCAATGCTAGCTTTTAAGAGAGACTTTATCACACTGAGATTAGAGGATTGGAGTTTAAAAAGAATTCCTAGACAAGTCTGAAAATTTATTTTAAAAAAGAGAAGAAACATAGAAGAAGAAGATCCATTGTGAATGTGGCAGCATTTATTTCTAACAATTGTGGAAGAGAGTGATATTTAATCTGATAAACAATCTGATAAAATGCTTCTTCCTTTATCCATTATGATTTGAGAAAGAGAAACCATTCAAAATTAATTTCATGTTCTGGATTAAATGGGCTGGGCAGGAAGTTCTATTTCTGTTGCTTAACATCAGGGACTACCCAGTGTGCATGTTCCCAGCAGAGCCCTTGGCGTAAGCCTCGATTTCCTTTCAGCAGGAAAGCCTGCTCTGCCCAGGGGGCACAGTGCAGTGTAAAAATGCATCAGAATAAACAATTTCAGCATTGTAGTACAGGATTCTTGATAGTAGTTTTTTAATGGGATCAGATTAGAGGCTTAGAGCCTGCCTAGGTGAAGGAGGTGTTTTTTGCTAATGGAACTCCAGGTAAATCCTGCAAGTGCCTTGGGAGGCCTTCAGGCAAATTTGACTCTGTTCCTGATGCTACTCTTCTTCTGGGCTCTGTTCAGCAAAGTAAGCAGGTACATGAACATATGCCCAAAGCAGGGAGGTAATGACAACTCTGTACGTTAAAAGGATCTTTTTTGAGGTGTATATATATATGTATATATAAAAGGGTCTTTCTGAGGTATGAGTCTGGCTGGTGCCCAGGACAGACAGTGTCCTGTGGGTGTAGGAATGGAGCTGTGAGAGGCACAGATGCTCTTTGATAGTGTAGTCAGGGAGTTTGCATCAAGAGGATTTCATAGGGCAGGACTGTGAACCTGGGATTTAAAACATGCTCCTGGTACTTCTCCTGCTTCCAGATCTCTTCTGCTGACATCTGAGTGTTGGAAAAGAAAGCTTCCATTGGGCATAAAGAAAACTTTCAAACAGAAGGGGAGAACATCATCCAGCTGCATCTTCCCATGGTGACCTCCCATGCAGGCACCATCCAATACAAGTGACAGCACTTAACCTCTTAACCAGTTTCAAGGCAGGAACAAACGTATTTAGACCCTGCCTGTTGAAGACTTGCCTAACCTGGTCTGTATGATCCTCAGTGCAAGAGGTTCAGGAACTCTCCAGGACTCTCAATCCACAGCTTCAACACTCTATAGTTAGAAATATTTTCCTAATATCGCATAAAAATATTGTTTGTGGCAGTTCCATCAAATACATTTTGCCTAGTGCTACCAACCAGACAGAAAAAGTCCCTTGCTGTCGTCCATCCCACGTTCAGAGACTGCTGCATGCTCCTGTCCCCTCACTCCTCTCTTTTCCCTGCCACTCCTCCTGACTCATTGTTCTAAAATCTCTGTCACAGCTGCCCATCCTGGACAGCAGCCAGCCTTTCTTAAACTGAATTTAGTGCATAGACCCAAGACTCATCAACAAAGAGCAGGGCAAAACCACAGCTTGTGATACCAATACAACCCAGAATGCATTTCCCCTTTTATTTAGTGCATTTATCCTTATATTTCAGATTTCATCTTCTATCTAATAAAAACTTGTGCTTGGGGATGTTTGGAGTGGGATTCATTTTTTATTTGTTTGTTTGATTGGTTGGTTTTTTGGAGGGCGTGTTTTTTGCTGCCTCCTTGGTATTTGCACATTTGAACTTCCCTTCCCAAATTCAACATTTTATTTCATTCACCTTCACTGGTTGTGCTTCTCCCGTCTTGCAGATTGCTCTGAGCCCTGCTGCATACCTCAAGTAGATTTGAAAAGTTGCCTTGAGAGGCTTCATCCCTCAGCAAATGAAAGTGCATTCTTTACTCCACCATGAACTCAAAGTGAAAAAAATTGACTAAAAACACTGCAATTTTTTTAGAGAGCAAACTATTCACAGCTTGCCCTTCAGTGCCACATGCCAAGCAGTTCAGTTCCCACTTTGCTATGATTTAATCTCTTTCACATCCTGTTAGATAGTAAGTAAGAACATCATCTAGCCAGGCCAAAAGCATTTCTGAAGTCATGATGCAGCACAGCAGCTACTTTTTCCCTGTTCTTGGGACCTGTTATCCTGCCAAAGAAAGGAATCAGGCTGGACTCATGTGGCTTGTTGCTGAAAAATCTGCTTCTGTTGTATTTGCATTTTATCCTGCTGGTGCTTATAAAGTTGTAAATAATTCACAGAATCCTGATAGGTACCAAAGCCAGTCTGACTGGTCTGGCTTCTCTCCGTCCACAACCTTCTCCTTTTCCTTCTGTTGTTTGCTCTTGGGATCTCCCCTTCCACCCTCATTTTGCACTCAAAGATGATTGCTAATGTTTCAAGGAGCACTTCAGCTGATCCCTCACTTACCCTTGGGTGATTGTCATCTGCCTCTCATGGCTTATCTAATTTCTCTAATTTATGCCTTACATTTAAAACCTTTAACTGATTTAAACATTTCAGCACTGAGGAAATTTCCAGGGAAGTACCAAATAATAGTTATTATGCATTGATTTATCAGTCTGCTGACTCAGGAGACATATTGTGTATTTTAAGCCCCATACTTTCAAAAATACTTTCAAATGCAGATAAACATGAGATTTATTTGGTCTATTGATAGCAATTTATAACCCTATTTGGAAGATAACATTTTTGTTGCATAGAGATAATGAAAGATCAAGTTTCAATTTCTTCTTTATATAAATGTGACTCCTTCAGATGCTACTCTTTATCATTTATAAAGCCAAAATCTGCTGTATTTTGGTTTTAAAATTTTAGGGTTTTATCCCAATAGTAATGGAAGTTCATAATTTTGTTTCGTAAATCACTCAAACTGTTACCATGGAAATAATTCTATATGGAGATGGGTCAAGAGAAAATAATTTCTCAGAGAAGATTGCTACTTGTAAAGCACATAAATTATAATAATTTAATCAAAAGCATAAAGTAGTCAATCCGAAAACCTATGGAAATATAACAATTCAGTTGAACTGCCTGATCTTTCTCTCCTGTGTGTATCTTCTCCACTATTGTTGAAAATCCATTACTAATTAATCTCTAATATGGTTTTCCAGGACACAGCCCAGTTGGCCACTGAAAGTATTATGCAAAGGAGATCAGAAGGGGTTGATGCTGGATAAAATAAAGAGCATTGTTCTCACTCCTGCTTGTCACTGCAAGATAAATGTGATTTCTCCTGGATATAGAATCCTTTATCTTTATGCCCTACTGTAGTGCTGTGGGAAGGCTTGTAATGCTTAACCCCTTTCTCAGATGTGGCTGCACATCCACTGTGAGTATTTCATCTCCAGGAGCCTCATCTCAAGCTCAGTGAAAAAGCCTCAAAAAACAACAAGGTCCTTTGTAAAGAAGGCATTGCTTTTTGAAGTCCAGCATGGATGCAGATACCAGCTGAATTGTCTGCTAATTATTTGGTATTGAAACTGGTTTTTGTGTTAAAGTAAGGAAATCCCATATTAATGTCACCAAGGAAAGACCTGATGATTTTGGTGTAGAACAAATACATTGCAGAAGTTTCATTTTACTTTGCTTTTGTTCTTCATATTATTTCCTCTGTGAACACTTGTGGTACACCTGCCACGCTGGTGTCCATGAGCTGCACTAGCAGAGAATTTCCTATCTCACTGTCTTTTCTCTGCACAGTGTTTTACCTGAGCCCAGCCACGTTTTTATCTGAGACCTCTCCAGTGCCCTTCAACCGCAATTGACCAAGGTGTTATGTTTGAAATGAGCTGCAATAAGAGACTGGCAAAATTCTTCCCTTTTCAAAGACAGCTGAAACCAGATGGATTTATTGAGTGATTTGCTCCTGGCTATTGATCCCACTCTGCCAGAACTGGGTTAAAATCCAAAGCACCCAAATCCACAATTATCCTTCAATTCAACTTCTAATGCCTTGTCATTTCAGTTTCCAGGGTGATCCATGAATGTGTGATACCTATTCTCACCTAAAAACTTTGGAGCAAGGTGAAAGAGGAATAAAACTTCAACAAAGTTACAAGATACAGAAGAAGAAAAATGACAAAAACAAGACCCAGTGTCTCTGGACAGCAGGATTTACCAAAAATAAACGAAAACTTATGATTAATGTCACTAGGAGAGGAGAAGTGATTTTTTCTTGCAGAAATGATATAGGGGAAAATATAAACTGAAAAAAATGTAATAACAGAGTTATTGGGCTATTGTTTTCAAAGCTCAGAAGGACAGACTTTTACCTAAAATGGTGATAAGATATTTAGAGAGAGAAATGCAGGAAAATCAGGAAGTCTGTAAGATAAATCTTAAAATAGCTTGTGAAGGCTTCGAGCCTGTTGGTATTGACAAGGCATTAAGTGCAGACAACATCCGTCCAAGGGTGCAAAGGGAAGTGGGGGTGGGATGGAGACAAGTCCAGCAGATTTTGTTTCCAAGGTCACACGTCCCCCACACTGAGGGCAGACCAAGTAAACACAGATGAGTCAAAGGCGCCAGCAGCTGCCAAGACTGTTCAATAGCAGCAGTGGAGAAAATCCCAAAGTTTGCAGAATGTTGGGAAGGGCTGGAGAGGGGAGGCTGGTTGCTACACGAAGGCAGATCCAGGCTTTCTGCACCCTTGCTCAGCAGCTCCCAGCTCTCCCCATTAAAGGTGTAAGGAACACCAGTAAATCACTTCCAGCAGAGATGTCCAAATGTTGGCAGTGTGAATGTGCTTTGGTCAGCGTGAGTCAGAGCTCACAAACATACACTTCAGCTTGGGAAATTTCCAAATTTAGGAAAAACCTCAGGCATTTCTTTCAATCTCACTGAAGTCAAAGAAGAAGACATATGAAGACGAGTTTTATATGAATTCCCATATTGGATCCAGATTAATTTAGTTGTTGACTTTTTAATCAAACAAAGCATTTCTGACCTAATCAACAGACATTTATTACTAATGTGAATTTACCACAGAGTTTCATTTTTTTTCCAGATGATTACTTATCCTGACATGACAAGTCCGAATACAGATGGTCAGTTTTAATAACAGGTTACCTTAAGAATGCCTTAGTGTTCCTATTTGCCAAATAATAATAATAACAATAATAACAATAAATTAATAACAATAATAATAACCACCCAATGGTAAAAGAAATGCTATAAGAAAGCATTAATTAATGATCTTGTCCTAAAATTCTAAAATACTAAACCACCTCTGAATAATTAATCGTTGCCAACAACCAAATTAATAACTCTAAAGAACAGGTGATGTGGTGGTGACATATCCTCAAATCATTCATATGTCTAACTGAACTTTGTCACATAAAATTCATCATTTCAGGTAAGAAGGCAGCCTTGTCCACAGAGGCTTTGCATTTTCTTTCCTTATTGACCTACCATTGTAAAGTAGTATCACTGTAAAGAGCACTATTGATTTTCAGAAGGTCTTTAGAAAAGCAGTCTCTTGGCTTCATTAAAAATTGAGCAACTTATTATAGTGATATGTCTGGAAGAGAGCTAAGATGGTCTGCATTAACCTCTGACTGACTAGAGAAATAGGGGAAAACCATGATTACATGTGTACAAGTCCAGACTTGGAGTTTCAGACCTAGTCTAGCTTTGACCTCCAGCTCTGCAGATATCTCCAGAACTGCTTCCTGTCTGTGGAGGTTCCTCCATTGCATGGACGACTCAGGATTTTACCAGGAATTTTGTGAAAAACCAGAACTTCTTCCTGTAGTGCCTGGATGTGTCAGTTTAGGTGGGTTCAGTCCACCTTACAGCCAAACCTGCTCGTGTGATCCTGCCCTCCCTGGCTATCTCAGGGTGCTGGGAGCTGCTGCTGTAGATGACATTTGCCTCATGATCTCATTCCTATCTTTGATACCTAAAAGACAATTCCTGGAAATGTCTCATTTAGGTGTCTCTTGGGGCATTTCAAGCCCCAATTTAAGGCTCGGCTCTCACATGTATGTGTAAGCTCCCTAAATCTCTTCCAGAACTCAAAGTCGGATGTTGCAGCATGTGCTAGCACTGATGAACAAGCCAGCAGTGATGAACATGTTGGATGCTCAGTTTGGTCATTCCTACTGGGTTTTAGAACCTTAGAGCCTGAGGGATAAGTTCTCCATGGCTTTCCAGAGCTCTCTGGTGTTTAAACTGCTCTGGTGCAGCATCTGGTACTTATAAGAGATCAGCTGAGCTTGAGTTGGCAATTTGGTCCCTGTGGGACCTGGAGTTTCTTGATGTTTATTGTCCTGTCTGATGTATAAGGCCATAGAAATGCTACATAAACCTCAGAGGTAAAGAACAAAGTAAAAGTCTCAGATGGGATTTTTGAAAGTTTTAAAACTTTTTCCATCAGGCCATTCCCAGCAGGCAGAAAAATCCTGGCTGAAGAGTAAAGGCTCCTGAAATGAATAACATAAAAAGACATATTTTATTATCTTGCTTCAAAGTACAGATCATGACCATTAAGTTATTTGGGGCTACAAGTTCCAGACCTCCTTCTCCCCTCCCCTTTCATCTAACCATCAGAGGAAAAGGCTGCAACACAGCCTTTAGCACAGCATTTAGCACAAGGTAATGCATCTCTCTCTAGAACTAATGAGAACCCCTCCAACCCCCCCAGCACAACCCCAGGCAGATTATTTCAGCATCTGTGTGATGTGCACAGTGACAGGCTGAAGACGGAGGTATTTGTCAGCTGTCTACTTGCTGACCTTTAGATAAGAGCAGTCTTCCCTGCTTCAGGCCACCAGAAAGGAAAAGGTCTGCACTCGAGACATGCCCAAACTGGGAGCAAGCTGCAGCTTCCAGCTTCCCTTTCCCTGTGTGCTGGGCTTCTTCAGCAGCAGTGATGTGGAGGGTGGGATCCAGCCTCCACCCTGTCTGGACAAAGTCACACTGATGTTATTCTGTGGGTGTCTGATGTATAAAGCTAAAAAATGCAAGTGTCTGCTGTCCCTGGTCACTCTGGGAGGCTCAGCTGGGGTGTCCAGGCTCCTGGAAACCTTCTTATCTGCCAGGAGTGGGGGGAAACACATCTCATCACCCAAAAGCAGCATCTCGGTGTCTCTCTGCCATCCCCACAGGCACCTGGGACAATCCTTGTGGATGTCCCTCCAGGGACCAGACCCTGGAGTGATGACACATACCCTACTGGACACAGTATGGCTGTAGGACCCTGCTGGATGCCAGGGGGCAAACATACACACCTACTGTGGGTGTCTGTGCCCCAGACCCCAGCCTGCCTTCTGGTGTGCCTGCAACCTGAAACACCCATTGGTTCTCCCTCTCCAGAGGGTTGCTCTCTCTGTCTCTCTCCTGCAGCTTTGCAGTCATGGAATTTGTTGGAAGTTAGCACCTTCAGTGCTTCTGCATCAAATTTGGCTGAAGCTTCTGGGCAAACGTCTCAGAAAAGGTGGGTCCTGGTCAGGAAGGAAGAAAGGAAGGAAGAGGAAAAAAAAAATAATAATAATAATGCCCAGGAAAAAAATATCCTGACCTGTATGGCACACAGTAATGTGCCTGGGGCAAAGCAGCAAGTTGCGGAGCCAGAAGAGGTCGTGTCAATGCTGGAACCTGGGACACATAAGTGTCCTTCTCCCTTTCCTCTACCTCTCTTCACCCCACTTTGGGGTACATTGGAATTCTCAGCACCCTCATCCAGAAAAGCAAATGAGAGCTTTCAATGACATTAGCACTCCAAAATGGCTCAGGTAGACTGTGGTGAAAGCTGGAGTGTGACTCTAGTGGAGCAGATGATGCTGAGTTATTGAGGCAGAGCAGAGGGCAGGCCCAGAGAATTGGCAATTAAAGGGTTAGAGAGCACCACATTGACTGTGAAAAGCAGGAGGGTACCCAAAGTGGCAGCAGTTCTCTCCTGGATGTACACACAAGCATCCCCACTGGTCCCAAAGCCAGTGCTGCTTGCCAAGAAGAACCAAAAAAGTGTTAGACTTTTGGCAGCAGCCAACTGTCCCCTTTAAATGAGTTTAATCAATTCCTTGCTTCAGGTAAGTACAGTCTGCTGGGCTCAATAGCAAGAGGGAGGTTACTTATGGAAATACAGAGGAGCATAGATGAAATATAAATTACCCAATCTAATATATTAGCATATTTTTGAGTGATGACTGATCATTGCCTTGCAAACAGCTTGCTGCTACCTTCCTCGGCAGCAAACATAAAACACGAGCTGTTTGCTAACATCATGTTCAGGTTTTTTTGAGCCTCCTGCACTCATGATCAGAAGCAGGCCATGGATCACCTCCACACCTGCATGAGGCTGAGTTGAACTTGTGTAGGGGGATACAGTATGGGTAAATGAGGGTGGTATAGAAAGTAATCTTATCCCCTAAAGAGTTGCAGCTGAACCAATTACTGAAGATTAGAAGCAATCCTGATGTTAACAGGCCACAGCTGTAGCCAATCAGAAGAGTGTTATAAAAGAGTGCATTGGTGGGAACTGGAGTCAGTTGGCTGCTGTGAGGACAGGGAAGAGTCAGTGCCTGGAGGAGGTATGAACTCTGGCAATATGGAGTCTTTGCAATGTAATGACAATAGAGCTCTTCCACTATAATGACAACAGACTTGTGGTCATGTGAGGTGACAGCCATCCTCTGAATGCCTCCAGTTGTCCTACAAGTGAGCAGAGAGGATTCTGCACGCCCTGGAAGTGTCAGTGCAGGACATAACCAGCATAGGCTGGTTGCCAGCTGGTGCTGCCTGCCTTGGCAGGGCACAGAGGGCCATGAGGCAGCTCTCG